TGGTTTGTCTTTTTTATGTCTGGAAGAACCAACTATAGCTAGCAAAACCATAGTTTGATATCATGGACCTCTGCCCTGAATCAAATGGAGGGGAACCAACATTGAGGCATGATAATGTGAACCAGTACAATGCCTGTTTAAATTATGTGTAGTTAGAAAGAAGGAACAGATTTTTATACCCCATCGTTTTCATACATATGTATTATGCAAAGTAGTGGCGCTGTGGTCTAAATCACAGAGCCTAGGACTTGCCGATCAGAAGGTCGGCGGTTAGAATCCTCGCGACGGGGTGAGCTCCCGTTGCTCGGTCCCTGCTCCTGCCAATCTTGCAGTCCGAAAGCACATCAAAGTGCAAGTATATAAATAGGTACCGCTCCGGCGGGAAGGTAAATGGTGTTTCGGTGCGCTGCTCTAGTTCGCCAGAAGCGGCTTAGTCATGCTGGCCACATGACCTGGAAGCTGTACGCCGGCTCCCTCGGCCAGTAAAGCGAGATGAGCACCACAACCCCAGAGTCGGCCACGACTGGACCTAACGGTCAGGGGTCCCTTTGCCTATTATACAAAGCAGCTTGCAATACTTAAAGCATATAGAATATGCATGTTAAAATATAACAACCAAACATAATGAGAGCATGCATAGCTGATGAAAAAGCATGCACAGAGAAATGACCAAAGTTAGTATTGTAGACAATATGCAACCTTTCTTAAACTTGGCAAAACAACAACAACAACAACAACAAAGGGTCTCATCATTCTTTTGACTTGTAAATACTCTATATGCAAAATGCATGCACACATTTTAATGGCTTCAGTATAATGGCATGTGTTTGTTTTGTCAATGTGGCGGGACAGTTGGTTGCATAAATTATGCATATACCATGGTTAATGCTTAAGCCTGCAGCATGAGGAATAACAAAGGAGGAGTCAAGTAATGAATCATATTGGGAAGTACAGTTCATCTAGAATTCTAGGCTACATTCTAAATAGGTTACATACATACATACATACATACATACATACATACATACATACATATTATCTTGCTCTTATTTTTTTATCAAGGGTGATAAGTTGGCAGCCTAAACCAATCTTCTTTGACTCCTGCAAATGTCAATCAAGACATAACATCCAAAACTACTGGACATGTTGAAGGGACCTGGAGTCCAATACATAATGATTTCTTTGGCCTACAGTTGGGAAGGGGTATGGAGTGAGGGAAATGTTTTCAAAAGTTGTAGAATTATCCCACACTATAATGCTACATATCTGATATATGGAAGCAAATGTGTGAATTGTTTAGGCAGCAAATGACTTATATTACAGAGCATCATCACCACCACCACCACCATTTATTTATTTATCATTTACTTATTATTTACTGAATATACACACATCCATGGCAGTTCACTGATGAAGGAACTGGAGAACACAATTTATCTGGGGTTTTTTTGCTGCCTTAAGTTTATCAGTACCACAGCTTGCCGTTTAGCAGAAATTGTACGATTTTGGTGTTTCAATTTGTTTTTAACAGGTCTGTGGCCGTACAATAAAATTTGTCGTTGCTGCGGGAGAAATCGGTGGCTCTTCAAGAATACAGAGGCAACTGGTGACTGCAGTGTTAAGACATACCTGACAGATACCCAACCTGCCTTCTTAAAAAGGAAAGTGATTTCACAATCACTCTAGGCAACACGGTTATACCCATGTTGGTTTTGTGTGTGTTTTACATGCTCAAAAAGCCACGCTGCAGTTTAGCTTTTGTCCCTTCCATTCCAAAGCAACCCCATGAATGGGTTGATCTTAACACCTCTTGCAGAGTAAGCTTGTTCAAAGCATGATCTTCTCTCTCCCACGTGGCCCTGCGTGTTCGATGAATGTCGCTAATATCTACTGGTTTATGAAGACTTTATTTCAGAAAACTCAGGTTTTATGGATATGAACTCATTGTAGGTGCATGTGCTGTGCCTCACGGTTTGAAATTTGCATCTGTAGTACTATGAAAGGCTTTCCAGACTAATGAAGAAGCAAAATAAATTACAGGGCTACATGGAAAACCTAAAATGTGTTTCCAGAACCTATTACATTTGAAGAATCCAAGGGAGGGTTTTAAAAGCATCTCTTGAAATCAGACTCAAGAGTGAACCAATAACACAGGGAAGTCTTTGTATAGACAGCCATCAAAACGCAAAATTCAAGGTTGTATAGCGGGCGGACATACCGGTGCAGTTAGAGGAGGCATCGATAGTTTAATAACATTAGAGGCGCGGGGGGGGGGATTTCCCCAAAAGCTTAAGAAAATGCTTAAAATGTAGTTTTAAAAGCCTTGGTAAAGAAAGGATTCTGGCTAGCCTTTGCTGTTCTTAAGAGCACTAACAAAAGAAGGGCTTTGTTGTTGTTTAGTTGTTTAGTCATATCCAACTCTTCGTGACCCCATGGACCAGAGCACGCCAGGCACTTCTGTCTTCCACTGCCTCCCGCACTTTGGTCAAACTCATGCTGGTAGCTTCGACAACACTGCCCAACCATCTCGTCCTCTGTCGTCCCCTTCTCCTTGTGCCCTCCAGTCTTTCCCAACATCAGGGTCTTTTCCAGGGAGTCTTCTCTTCTCATGAGGTGGCCAGAGTATTGGAGCCTCAGCTTCACAATCTGTCCTTCCGGTGAGCACTCAGGGCTGATTTCCTTGAGAATGGATAGGTTTGATCTTCTTGCAGTCCATGGGACTCTCAAGAGTCTCCTCCAGCACCATAATTCAAAAACATCCATTCTTTGGCGATCAGCCTCCTTTATGGTCCAGCTTTCACTTCCATACATCACTACTGGGAAAACCATAGGTTTTACTATACGAACCTTTGTTGGCAAGGTGATATCTCTGCTTTTTAAGATGCTGTCTAGGTTTGTCATTGCTTTTCTCCCAAGAAGCAGGCGTCTTTTAATTTTGTGACTGCTGTCACCATCTGCAGTGATCATGGAGCCCAAGAAAGTAAAATCTCTTACTGCCTCCATTTCTTCCCCTTCTATTTGCCAGGAGGTGATGGGACTCCTTCATGGATCACTGCCTTGTCATGGTGAAGGGGCTTGAATAACTAAGAGAAGCTATGAGCTATGTCATGCAGGGCCACCCAAGACGGACAGGTCATAGTGGAAAGTTTTGACTGAATGTGATCCACCTGGAGCAGGAACCGGCAAGCCACTCCAGTTTCCCTGCCACGAAAACACCATGGACAAAGACAACAGGTACGGTATATGAAGAAGGGCTACATCTGGTTGAATCCAGAAGATAGTGCTCCCCCAAATTTAAAGAGGGTGGAATTCCTCAGTCTGGTTGAAATCCTTTAACTACAGGCCTTAAATAGATTAACATCTGTATAAACAGGAAATGTTCACTGGCTGATACTATCACATTGTCAAAATAGGTATGTATCATTTCATAGGATACCTGAACACCTGAACTCCAGGGTGACATAATCATTAAACCAAGGCTATCCAAGGTCACAAAATGTGAGAATTATCTGCATTTTTGTTTAATGCATACATCAATTTGTTTACAAACCTATATGATTTCCTGTTTAATTCTTCACTCTTACATCATGACTAATTGCACGGGTTGATTTAACGCTAAGTGGCAGTTATGAAAAAGACAACCACCCATCAGCCATCAAACTGAGCACTGTGGGAGTCCTTAAGAGCTATTTCTTCAGGGATTATTCCTTGCTGCACAATTCCAATTAAACAGAGACCGTCTAATCAGCACTACGCTTCCCTCAACACAGCCAAGAGACTTCTTAGGACAAAGACACCTCTAAGCTGCAACTCGGATGACAGAACTACCAGTTTTTCACCCTCTTCATGCGTCAAGGACAGTTCATAATTGCTAGATTGGTTGACAGCTGATGAAGACTTCCCCAGTTAAGCCATGACAAATGTAGCTCAGGGTCTGGCTACCATTTCGGTATGTTCTCATTAAGGCACATATCTGAAAAGATGTGCAATAATCATATAAAATCTTTTGTTGACACCAGGGTTGCAAATTTTTCTGCTTCACTAAGTTCAATAGTGTTGCAGGAACCCCCCCCCCCAATCCTTCAGTTTGTACAAACATAACACACACACACACACACACACACACACAACATGCACGGCGTTTCTGTTATAAATTCATAGTAAATCAACCATACATCGGATTTACACCGGTCCACTTTTATTTTGCTCCATGAAGGACTATCAAAGGGGGACGGTTTGATACAGGATGGCCATAATTAAGCGTACCAACACGTACTCAGGAGCCCTACCCAGTTGGCATGACAACCTTGATGGTCCCAGACAGAAGACCATCAAGGTCACAAAGGACTTGCATATGGGAGTGGATTCAACACGGACTGGAACAAAGGACAATGATCAGATCTTCCCTCTGGGGGTAGGAAACTGCCAACTCCCCTTTGTCCTCTGGAAATGGCTCATGGGGAGGGGGAAAGGAGGAACCAGCCAGGTGACAAGATACTCAGGTTACCTCCATAACTCCTCCCTCAACCCCTCCTTTTTGTGATGTGTCAATGATGTAGTCATGCTGTAGTTGTGATGTAGTTCTAGGGGTGTAGGTTGGGGGATTAGTAACTAATAAAATTTGGGGTCTTCTTTTGTTCTGGGCTTCCATTTTGTTCCACCTTGTGTCAGGTGGGAGTCCTGTCGCGACAGTCTTCAATAAAGACCAAGCCTACTGGCTGCTGTTTTGCTCTGGTATTCCTGGCTGGTGTCCTTGTTTTTTGTCCAAGGGAGCCCACAAATTCGTCCATTAACAAGACACAATGAATGGATGCAAACCCCAAATAAATATGAAGCCACTAGCACCATGTTGGTTTCTGCCCTATGCATCTCCCTATTCGCAACAGCTTAACGAAAGGCTGCTCTAGAAAGAGATAAAACACTATGTACACATTAAATCTGCCAATCATTTGTACACATATCGTGTCAACAGCATACAAGGTTGGAAGACATCTCCTTACCTGTTTTGGTATTGATGATGAAAAAGTTCTGAGGGTTCCCACTGGTAATCCTATAGGTCATCTTTTCATTTGTGCTGGAGTCAGGATCCTGAGCCTGTATCTGAATAACCGATACATCCTTAGGCGAGTTTTCCAAAACAGATGGGTAATATATGGGTTCAGAAGTCAACGGGGCGTTGTCGTTCACATCTTCAACCTCAATGTAGACCTCAATGGTGGTATAAAGTGGAACAACACCACGATCTGTTGCATACACAGTTAACCAGTAGGACTGAGTCGTCTCTCGGTCCAGGATATCTGCAGTATAGATAACTCCTGCAAAAAAAGATGTGAGGGGGGAAAAGAGATTCAGGATTGTTGTTGAAGATAAGAAAACATAACTGTTTCAAACACAAGGATGCCCCATTAAGGAAACATGAGAAAGCATTCTGAAGCCATTGTGTGTTCTTGATTTAAACAATATGGCTGTTACATTCAAGTCACCATGTGAACATATCACATCAGTTTTTGGTTATGCGCATCCTTCTTTTCTTCCATTTTTCCTCTCACATTCCTCCCTTCTTCTCCCATTATCCTGGAGCACTCATTACTAGCTGCCTCTCCCCACATGCATACCATGAGCACATGCTGATGTATGTCAAGTCTGAGGTCATCATTCATTCATAACATTCAACACACTGAAATTACACTAAAGCTCTGTTTTTGCATTCAGGTCATGCATTCCATGGACAGGCATGGAGGTAGCATAACAGGCTCTGCCTCTCACCTTACACGCACTCACTGAAGGGTCGGACAGAGCCACCGCGCATGGAACTATACGCGAGGAAGGCTGCATCCATGGGAGCAAGCAACTGCCATCAAACAGCTCCTCAATTCCAAAAAGCCTTTCATGGATTCAGCTGCAGATCCAAGTGTTCAATGGATGCACATAAATAGAGGTTGCACATGGCACCTGATGCCTTTCCATTGGACCCCTGAATGGGGCATTCTTTTTGCACAAAGGTGTTTCATTTTTTTTTTGAGCTTTGCAAACTGCGAATTAGAAGGGACGCGAGTGGCGCTGTGGGTTAAACCACAGAGCCTAGGACTTGCCGATCAGAAGGTTGGTGGTTCGAATCCCCGCGACGGGGTGAGCTACCGTTGCTCGGTCCCTGCTCCTACCAACCTAGCAGTTCTAAAGCATGTCAAAGTGCAAGTAGATAAATAGTTACCGCTCTGGCGGGAAGGTTAACGGTGTTTCCGTGCGCTGCTCTGGTTCGCCAGAAGCGGCTTAGTCATGCTATCCCCATGACCCAGAAGCTGTTACGCCGGCTCCCTCGGCCAATAAGCGAGATGAGTGCCGCAACCCCAGAGTTTGGTCCGCAACTGGACCTAATGGTCAGGGGGTCCTTTTACCTTTACCTTAAACTGCAAATTGGACTTCTTTGGACTGTTTTCTCTACAGCCTCACTTGACTTTTCCCTAAAGTGGTTTTAGTAACCATTTTTGCTTACGATGAAGGTTTTATGATGGATTGACTTCTGCGAATGTTGCACTGAGACTTTAAATTGGTTCGATTTCAGCAGCATGAATCAAACATTCCTAGTCCTGCTTAGAAGAGGCAAAACTGCCACGACAATTACGAACAGTGCGGTTAGCATTAAGCATACAGTGATGATCTAAACCAAGTCCTGCTTCTAAAGCCAGAAAGTGCAACTATGGTAATTCCACCACTTTTGGTCATCCTAATCCATCATTAATATTCAGGGATGAAATGTTTTGAAAGAGATAGTCCAGGACCAAATAATAAGAGAGATATTAGCAGGAAAGCTTCGGGGCAAAATGGGAGGGAAAGAAAGTTGTGTTCAGCTACCGATGGTAGTTGAAGAGTTTAAGTACATCAATTTGTCATTCACAGGAGAAAGATTTAGCTCCTGGGCAGTGCTAATAGAGAATTTTTGATTATGCCACCCTCTGAACACTTCTCTGAGACTGCCTAGTCTTATGGAAGGTTTCAAACAGCTAGCATGTGATTCTTCCCACAAGGAAGAATCTTTCTTTGTGTACAGCTATTTTAAACCCAGGTGCCCTGAACCAATCCTGACCTCCAAAAGCAAAGTTTTAAAATGTCTAAAATTAATAAGCCAATGAAGAACAGAAAACAACTGCCTGGCAACAGAGAGGAAATCAGAATTGACAGATTCATGCATCCTTAGGTACAGGGCACCTCTCCCCTGGAAAGCTTTCAGTTAACAATATTGTTTTCAATATAGTTTCCTCTGCTGAGTTAACGTCACTGTTAATCTCCTATATTAATTGGCTCCTATGAAGCATCTTGAAACAATTTCACGATACAATAAAAACCTACGTAAAACCGGTTGAAACAATTACATATATAAAAACAACTTCAAATCCAATACAAATACAAGACTGGGATTTTTAAAAATCCACTCAGAAGGCTTGCTGAAGTGTTGTTTCAAAGTGTATTTTTGTTGTGGCTGTAAAGTGGGCTTCTTGGAAAAACAACAGAGAAATACTTTGTTGTATCAATAAAGCAAATACAAGGCAAATGCTATGCTTCTGCGGACGAAATGCCAAACATTCGTCCGTTATTTTACAGAAAAGCAAACTTTGCTAGCGTATTAAGGAACCCACTGCCTAAAATCCCACACAAATGCACAACCTCCCCTCTCTTCATTCCCCCAGTGAGGTGCCCCAAACTGGTCACCTGGAAGAAGCCTCCATAATTAGCGGCAAAGCTCCACCTTGTCTTTGGTCTGTGTAAAACAGGAAGCGATACATATGCTAAAAAGAACAAGGTCCATTTATCTCTGATTTAAGCCCTATGCATATTTATGTGCAAATTCAAAATACCCTTAAGGCTCTTGGCGGTGTGCCAATGCAGCTTTCGTTGATGGATAGGCTGAGAAGAACTTATCTGCTTCCCATAAGCTGCCTCTACTTTCTCTAAGCCGAGTCTTTTGAGGCTCCACTTCGCATGGAGTTTAGGCAGGATTGGAGGTGCCACAGATATCTTTATTTTCTGATTCCGAAAGCCCAACACACACTCGCATATTCCCTGGCTGTGCCACGAATAACAGTACAGTGGTACCTCGGGTGAAGTACTTAATTCGTTCCGGAGGTCCGTACTTAACCTGAAACTGTTCTTAACCTGAAGCACCACTTTAGCTGCCACACCGCCGGAGCACAATTTCTGTTCTCATCCTGAAGCAAAGTTCTTAACCTGAAGCACTATTTCTGGGTTAGCGGAGTCTGTAACCTGAAGCGTATGTAACCTGAAGCATATGTAACCCGAGGTACCACTGTATGAGAGGAGTCAGGAACCAGGGTATAAAGTCAACCAAAGAGCAAAGTCAGAACCAAAAGACAAAGAAGGAGGCAGGATAAAGTTGGATATCCAGAACCAGTGTCTTCAAAAGGACACAGGAACATACCTAAGTTCAAGCTCAAGAAAGACTTGCTATGACTAAGTTTGTTTTTGACAATCACGTTTTTGTTTCAGAAAGCCTATCCAGTCATGGAAATTTAACACAAAAACTTATCATGTATAGTTAGTTTTTTTAAAAACAACAACAACAACACCTGCTGGTTTTGTTTTGATAAAAAATTATGGCAACATGTTTCTAAGGGTTTTGTTTTAGCTGCTATTTTTCAATGAATACTTGAGTCTAATCAGGACACTTTCCCCTGCTCTTAAGTGTCCATGCAAACTGCTGTTAGGAAGCTGTGAGGCCCAGTTGGCTCATAAATTACTTCCTGCACATGACTGGGTGAGGTTAGAGGTCTGCTCTACAAGGGAGAGGTGATGCTAATGCACATGATGAATTTGGCCACGACTGCAGCTAAGGGTACGGAATATGTGAATATTCTCCTCGGATATCTGGAGACTTGATTGCGCAAGTTGTTGGGCAAATTAGGCAAGCACAGGAATAATTCAGGGGGGGGGGGGGAAACATTCTACTGCCAGGGATTTGAATGAGAACAACACAGATTAAAAGCGCTTGCGTGTGTGATGTGCAGGAATGATTTCAACGTGTGTTGTACTGCTGAGAAGTCTGCTTTTGAATGGGGATCTCAATGCACAAGAATGCCAAAAGGAGCGCACAATGCAGAACAATGATGCAGAAAATAGCCAGAAATATCCCAAACAAACAGTGCCGGTGTTCAGAAAGGCAGAAACGCCCACAACAATAGACCGAAAGCTGTTTGCACATCTTTATCCAGGAAGGTGAGTTCCTTTATTAATATGCAAGTAGAACTTCAAGTGTACGCTAACAAATGCTTGCCTCAGCAATCCAAAAACCAAAGTTGTGCCATTAGCTGGTGCAAATCAAAACATATTTGCATCAGGGTTCTTTAGTTTGTCTAATTAATTCTGATTACTAAGGGAGTACCAGTCAAGTTTACCCCTTATGTTAATGCACACTCTGTCTCTGAAGGAAACGATGAACATGGAAGAGTTTAAGCGATATAGAAAGATGCCAGCGAGTGGCTTAGTCGAGAGGGCGGTAGGGAACCTGTGCCCCTCCAATTGTAGCTGGACTCCAACTCCCATCAGCCCTAGTCAGCATGGATAATGCTCAAGGGTGATGGGAGATGCAGACATGAAACATCTGGAGGACTGCAGGCCCCCTACTCCTGAATTAAGCAATGTAACTGTATATCTCCATTGGCTGCATGGTGGATAAAAATCAATGATTTATTTTTTTTAAATCGGATTTTTTAAAATTTAAATCAGATTTTTAAAATAAAATGCTTTTGGAGGAAAAATCTTTCTAAAGATAGTTTTCTATTTAAGTTACATTATAGTCCAAGGGCTATTCATCAGGAAATAAGGATTTGTTTTCATGTTTGCTAAAACTTAGTCTAAGTTTTTGTTTTTTAATCGTTTAACCACATCAGTTAACAAACATGGATACATATGCTGTAATGTTATTGTTTTAGTTAAATAAATTGTTTAAATTGTTATTAAGGAAATGATTATTTTTCTCCTTCCAATAAAGTACAGCAGAAAAGTTGTCCAAATATAAGCAGTTAACTTCATAAACCTCACAATAATTTCATAATTACCTGTCTATGTGTTTCTAATAGTATAACCAAATCAGTAATTTTTATATAACTGTAAAAATTATTCTGAAACTTTATTATTTCAATAGTGAAACCTTCATCTGGTTGTAAATATTAAGATTATACCAGCAAGAATGAGTCTTTCTGTAAAAAAAAAGGTTTAAATCAGGTCTTACTGACTAGTAATTTAAATCATGATTTAAATCAAATCCACCCTGATTGGTTGCTCAGGATAGTTTACTCCTAGA